TGTTAAAATATATTTTCAAAGATTTACAAAACTGAACATCCTATAGTATTTTTACAGTCTTTATTTTACAGTTAAAATACGTAAATGTTTATCTAATAAAGTTTAATCTTACAACTAATCATGGATCCCTTTAAATTAAATCAGTCTTGTCTTGTGAGCTGAGGTGTTAAACCCTCGCTGTTGGTGTCAAGTTAAATGAAGAAAATCAATCTTTGACAAAGTAAAGTGTGCTGAATGTTTTACCTCTTGTCTCCTGGGGATGGCCAGGTCTTCTTGTTTCTTCAGCTGGTTGAAGGTCTGCAGCTCCGTGGCTGCCTGCTCCACCTGGTGGACAGGACAGGTACACCAGTTAGGTCCTGTCAGTCAGCCCAGTTACAGATGTCTGCCAGAACTGATGGACCTGCCAACACTGACTGACTGACTGTCAGATGTGCAGAAACATCTACAGATCTGCTGAGACGTGTCACCATCATGACATCACATCCTGTCAGGTCAGACCAGGTGTGTTCAGTACCTGTTCCCACAGCTCATTGTGCTGCTTCAGGAGCCCCAGAGCTCTGGACTGAAAGCCTCCCAGCAGGATCTTCAGTTTCTTCTCCAGTTTAGCTGCTCGTCGAGCCTCTGCTGTCATGTGACCACGGTTCACCTGAAGGAGTCGGGGGGGGGTTCAGGGCTCTGAAGGTTTGGACTCACAGTACTGAAACATAGTGGTTTAATGTGGACCGCCTCACCTCTAATTTCTTCTCCAGGCTTTCAATACGATCCTTCTTTGATGCCAGGTTTGCTCTGGTGTACCTGTTCTGACCCGGGAGATACAACACCTGTGCACCGAGACAAACACCTGTTATTACTACAGTCTGTTAGATTACATCACTTCCACCAACAGAACAGTGTGTTTGCATCATTTTAATGACAACAGAAGCTCCTGATCCAACAACACAAGCCTCTCCTCAAACATGACAACATAAAGAGGGAACAACTATCCTGCATTGTTTACGTTTAGCTCTGTGCCCCATGAGGAGAGCTGTGGGAGGAGGAGGGTTTCTCTCCAGTGTCTCTTAAGTTTATATCTCAGGAAGAAAAAACGTGTCCATAAAACTGACACGTTTTCCACGAGACTCCATGCTGTGTTTTAAAAGGTGGTGTATATTATTTATAATAACATTAAATTGTGTCGTTAGGCCAAGTAAAACCAAAGTTATCTGGAAGATAACGTTTATCAGCTAACTGAATGGAACAAAGTTTGATCTAATAAACTATTATTTGACAGTCTGAAGTTGATTAATTGTTTGCATCTCTTATCCTGATCATTGATGAGCTGCAGCATCACTTTGGCTGAAATTTGTGTTGAACCATTTTGTCTCTTTGCTCGTGATGTTTTTATTTCACTGTGCAGTTTTCACACTGAGCACCAGCCTGAAGCAGTTACTGAAATACTTCCACATTTTACTCTAAAGGACAATACGGCAAGAATTCACTGCTGAAACCCCCTGATTAATAAGTGAGCCATATCCAAAAACTGATGAAACACTTAATGTCACAGAGATCCCAAGTTTATCAAAACCCATTTAATAACTTCTAATGTCCCATGAAAGCTCTGCAGACAGATGTTAAATATAAAAACATTATCAGTCCTTTTCCCTTCAGGGACTGATAATAATACTAACAGAGGACACACTCAACATGTCAAACACAAGCAAAGACAGACCTCCTTGTTTATCTTGGTGTTGATGCTCACCTGTCCGTAGCACTCCTCCCACACCTGAGTGTAGGCCTCCAAGCTCAGGTCACCATGACCCATTCCTGTCTTCACCACCTCCATCTCTGCTGCCAGGATCGCCTTCGCCTGTGTGTCAACACAAACATGACATCATCAAAAAGGTCTGAACACCTGTATCACACCTGTACAGATCACACCTGTACAGACCACACCTGTACAGATCATAGATCACACCTGTACAGATCATAGATCAAACCTGTACAGATCATAGATCACACCTGTACAGACCACACCTGCACAGATCATAGATCACACCTGGTCTGATGTCAGGTGTGATCTGTACAGATCACACCTGTACAGATCACACCTGTACAGATCACACCTGTACAGACCACACCTGTACAGATCATAGATCACACCTGTACAGATCACAGCTGTACAGATCATAGATCAAACCTGTACAGATCATAGATCACACCTGTACAGATCACACCTGCACAGATCATAGATCACACCTGTACAGATCACACCTGCACAGATCATAGATCACACCTGGTCTGATGTCAGGTGTGATCTGTACAGATCACACCTGTACAGATCACACCTGTACAGATCACAGATCACACCTGTACAGATCACAGCTGTACAGATCATAGATCACACCTGGTCTGATGTCAGGTGTGATCTGATCACACCTGTACAGATCACACCTGCACAGATCATAGATCACACCTGTACAGATCACACCTGTACAGATCATAGATCACACCTGTACAGATCACACCTGTACAGATCACACCTGTACAGATCACACCTGCACAGATCATAGATCACACCTGTACAGATCACACCTGTACAGATCACACCTGTCACACCTGTACAGATCATAGATCACACCTGGTCTGATGTCAGGTGTGATCTGTACAGATCATACCTGTACAGATCACACCTGTCACACCTGTACAGATCACACCTGTACAGATCATAGATCACACCTGTACAGATCACACCTGTACAGACTCAGACGTGGTTCTGACCTGCTCCATGTCCTCTGTGCTGATTGGCTTGTAGGCGTGTGTTTCCAGGTAGGAGATGTGTGAGGCGTTGTTGGACGTGGAGGCGGGGCCTTTGGTTTTTCCACGCTGAAACTGATTGGCTGCGTTGGCTGAGGGGTGGTGCAGGCAGTCGTGGTGCAGCATGGTGATCATCTCCTGTTTGATGAGCTCCTCGGCCACCTGGAGGTCAGACAGCGGATCCATGGAGGCGGGACGAAGAACGGACTCGTTCACCTGCAGAGACATGATGATGCGCGTGTCAATAAAGGCTCAGGTGGTCCTAACGAGCCTCCATCAGAGGGGACTGAACGTCAGAGCTCGTTACCTCAGTGGGTCGGGGGAGACTCCTCTGCACAGCTTTGTGTCGCAGCTTCAACTCTTTCTCCCTCTGTGCGTCACGCTGAGCCTGACAGAACACAGCAACACACACCGCTCAGGACCTGTTTCACACTGCAACACTTAGACAACACACAGGAAGTGACACACACCTGCTTGCGTGCCTCAATATCTGCAGAATCTTCAATAAATCCCGTCTCCATTTCTGTTTCTTCCAGTTCTTTCTCTGCGTTCTCAGGAAGAACAATCTCAAAGTCGTTCTTGGGGACAGGAAGTGACATCAGGCCTTGTCTCAGCTGCTGCAGGCTCTCCTTCTGCTGTTAGGAGACAAGCATGAGATGAAGCCGCTCTGGATTTAAAATAACTCTTAGAAGTTGTTAAAGTGTTGTTGTAGAAGCAGCTGAGACACACAGCCGTTCAGAGCCAGCTGTGTTTACCAGATGTTTGGCGAAAGCAGGATCAGCCAGCTGCTCCTCACTGTTGATGTTCAGCTTGTCCCTCAGAGGTGTGCGACCCGGGGTCAAACCTGGAGTCCCACGTGGGGTCATCCCACCTCCAGCTACAGGGGTCATCCCTTCTGAGCCCTGACCGGGTCCAGGAGTTCTGCAGGAAACCACCCGATTAGAAATGATGACTTCTTCTCTACTGAACTCCATCCTGACCTTTATTCCAATATTTTTGACTTTTTCTCAGTTAAATTTTAGCGACTGATTCTTTCAGTATCATCACAGGTAAATGTCAACTTTATTTATAAAGCACTTTAAAAAACAGCAATACTACAATACTAATATGATTGTATTTTGATGTTTTACCATAATGTCCAAATATTGCTTTATTGTTGTAATATTTCTCAAATTAGTGACAACCATTACATTGGCAATGTGGCCACTTTCTGCATACATACAAACCAAACCCTGGCCTCGTCCTCTACCACAGCTCTAATGGTCTCATGGTTACTGCCATGGACTTTCATGTACGAGATCAGGGTTCAAAACTGAACAGGCAAAGCCATGCTGCAATGACATGCTACATGGCAATGCACACTTGTTTTTACATTGTAAAACCTGGATTTATGCTGTTTTTGAGTTCACAAACAACGCTGGTTACTTTTTTAAAAGTTGAGGGACATTACGTTAGCTATAGCTGCGCTGCTGATCAGTGCTATTTTTAGAAGAGACACAGAGCCGCTGACTCCCGGTCACACACGGGTCTGTGTTGGCTGATAAGCATGCTGTAGCTTCACCTGTCGTGTTTTCCTTGAAAGAAAAATAAAGTAGCTCAAAGCTGTCGCATCAGACAGTTTTCATGGAGCGACACAACACACACATGCCTTGCTATTGTGAGGACTACACACGGCCCTAGCCGCGCACAAAACCCCGCAGTGTTGGTTTTTCAAAATAAAGCATATACAAACTTTTCATTGGTTTAAATAGGGTTTCAAGGTCTGATTATGGTTAGTATAAGAGCGCAAATATAGGATTAGGGCTGCCACAAACGATTATTTTTATAATCGATTAATCACCGATTATTATTTTTTGATTAGTCGACTAATCAGATCATATGTTAATTGAATATAAAACATACAGCTTATCGCGCCAGAATGCAGCTGCTATTATATAACCATGGTTAGATTTTAGCTACATGCTAACTAAAAATAATTGCTGTGGAAGGTAAGTTCTGCTCTGCAGATATTACACAGGTTTCTCTTTCATTTTCTTAAAATGATCCCACACTTTGAGCTCCGTTGCTGGGTAGCCATGATACCAGAGCCTGTCTGTATAATGTCTTGTGACGTCCACGGCCTACCCCAGTTACCACTACTGTGCATGTGTGTCAAGGACAGAAAGGCAGATGTGGCAGTGGAAGGTGTCAAAGCAGAGAGAAAAACAAAGAACAAAAAAAAAAAAGAAAAAAGCGATTAATCGATTATTAAATTAGTCATCGATTATTTTAATAATCGAATAGTCGTCGACTAATTGAGTAATCGTGGCAGCCCTATAAGATTTACACTGTTTTAGCCTAATATAGGCCTATTATTAAAAAAAAAAGGAAAAACTTTATTCAGAAAGTGTGGCGGCTAAGATTTTGGAACGGTGTCGACAAATGTACCACAACCTAAAGGATGCTCTACCTCCCCTAATCCACAATGACTCATGTTTGTAGTGCAGTGTTAGTGTTAGCGTTAGCAACACTGAAGGGCTAACTGTTACCATGTTGCTTAGCAAAGGTGGCTCATGAAGTCCAAAACGGTGCTTGTTTCCTGTAGCTGGTTTGGCTCGAGGCCTGTCTGTGTTCACAGAGTTTGTTTGAAACTGGACCGAGACCACCTCATAAATGGGTCTCAGTCAACATCATCTTAACCAAAGTTACTTTCTAGTTAATTTTAGACTTGAAGCAGGACAGGTTAACTGCTGTTTTGAGTTTTTATGCATTAGTTTTGTGTAAAAGACTACTTGTAGTTTAACTTGAATTTAATTTCATTTTTTTAACCAGGTGTATAAACGTCAGAAATACATGTGGTGAAGCTGTTAACCTGAAGGTTTTTTAGGTCATTTTTAAAGTGTGACCAGGTGAGTTGACTGCAGTGCAGCTGAACAGGAGCTGTCCTCACAGGAAGCAAAGATGGTGACAGAAATAACAGCGACTAAACAACTAATCGATGAATGGAAAAACTAATCGACAGATGTAAATAATAGTTGGTTTGTTACCTGAAAGGTGTGCTGAGAACAGTGTTAGGGGTCTGGATCTGCTGCCTCTGAGGCGTGACTCCAGTGAAGTCGCTCTCGTGCAGCGGAGTGTTGAGGCCTCCTTTCAGAGGGGTGTCGATGTTGGTCAGAGCCATCAGGTTCTGGGCTTCCTGAACACAAACGTGCACAAACAACACGTCTTTTTAACCAGCAGTACAGTCTTTCTGTGTCAATTTTTTTTCCTTTTAACAAATCAGGTTGATCTACTTCTAATGAGAAATACACTATATATTCATGTAGACATTTATGATGCTTTAATGGACCCTAACAAGATCAAATCAAAAAAGTAAAGGCAGCTTTGGAATCCTTATCTAATTCCCTTTCCAATGATACCAAGTTTGTGAATCAAGTTTGACCCAACAGTTGCTGAGATAACGGGTTGGAAACAGGCAGACCCATTTTGGCAGAAGATCTGAAATGTTGGGTCCATCTCTCTGGAACCGCAGGTCCGACTGACCTCAGATTTGACATACTGTGTTGTGAGATCACAGGTGACAAACACGCCAATTTTCATGAAATTCTGAGGTGGTCAGGTTAAAACCTTTGGGTGATTTGACCTGGAATGCATTTAATGAAGGAAATGATCTGTTTTTTTTTTTAAACTAAATGCTTTCTAGTGATTTTATGGCAATTTAAATTCAAACTAGAGAAACACAGCATGACTGAAACTTGTTAAAAATAATATGTTAAGTGAATTGTTAAAAATTAGCAGAATACACAACATAAACAGTAGATAAAGAGCATAGGACGACAAAAAATAGAGAAGCAAGATGTCAGAAAATGTTTTTGAAAGTATGTATATATGTATATATATA